GGATGAGCCGCCTTCAGAAGGTTTTCCACTTCAGTATTCTATGAGTCCTGTTTTCCCTCTGAGTAAAGATGGACCTCTTTGATAAGTCTGGCTGTATAGTGACTGAGAGAAACAAGGCTCCTTATATAAACCTGTTCCTGGAAGTTGCTCTGTGATTGCTTCGGCTTTAACTTCCTATATGAACATCCTACAGCCTAGTGGATAAGAAGTGTTTCTTTTCCCCAAAGAAAATGCTTGTATTTATGCCAGGCAGCAAAAGGTTTGTATCTATTTGTTCTTTATTAAACTGTCCCTATTTTGCTATAAAATCTTATTAGGAATTATTTCAGTTAATATTTTGGGAAAGTAGATGCTGCAGTTAAAGAATCAGGCCCAGCCTTGCAGTCTGTACTGAAGTGCTGCTTGAGAAAAACGATCAAAATACAAACCGTGTTTTTCCTTTTCATTGAAAACTGTAATTTTCAATGGGCTGCGAGGTGCCCCAGCCGCGGGCTCCTTCTGTCGGTCACACGAGTCACGCTCCGGTGCAGGAGCTGCATTTCTGCGCTGCAGCTCAGGGCTGCCTCCTGCGGGGGCACTCACTGCGGCGCTTCGCACCGGCGCTGGATGCATGGAGGCAGAGCAAAGTGGGTGCCCTGAGCCGGGCCACTGCTGGGAGAGACCCCAGCAAACCAAAAATGCTCCTTTACTGAGAGCCGGGCACCCAAAATAGCTCCTTTTCTGAGAGCTGGGCGAGATTCTGGCCACTGTCTGGAAATACGCTGCTTTGGTGCATAATTCACCTGCTTATAATGGTTTACTGGAATTGTGAGATCCTACCCAACATGTGGCCAGAGAACTGATCCCCAGTACAAAACCAGACCTGGAGCAACCTCATTGGAAGGGAATAGGAGTCTGCAGCCGGCACTGCCCTTTGCTGTGGTGTCAGACCACACTGCTGCTATTTTCTTGTCACCGATATTCACAGAAAGTACAACTTTAACCATTCTTAAGGCCAAAACAAAGAGTAAGTGCTTGGGATGTGTTACCAGGTATGTTGCTGATGATGCTGGTGCAGGATGTGTCCTTTGCTCACCCCCCAAACCCCCTGCCAAGCCAGCTCTCCCACGACCCCTTCCAGCCTTCTTTTAGTGCACATTTGAGGAGCCCCTGGGCTGTGGGTCAGCATGATGCTACCAGGAGGGGCACAGTGGGGCAGGAGCGAGTGCCCAGGGACAGGAGAGTGATTGTGTTGCTCCCCAGGGTGTCACAACACTTTCTGGGACATCGTAGTCGAGTCCTTTTTTGCACCTCCCTTGAGAACTAGACAAGCATTGCCCCAAAATGCAGATTTCTAGGTCTGCGCCTTAGACAAGTGTCTTGCTGATGTGCTGTCTAGGAAACAGGGAGAAACAGAAGGAGGTGACTAGCTTCTGCCTGGTCATTGCTGTGGTGCTCTCATACTGAGGTTGTTTAAGAACATTAAGAGCATTAAATAGAATAAACACTGTCTCAAGCTTTCTGGATACTCCCAGGCCATTTTACACCTCTCTAACTAAATTGTTGCAAAAATAGATGAAAGTAATGCTTTACTTTATTAATCTTTTCTAAAGCTCTAGTTGGAAATACATCTCTCTTTTTCATCTTTTTTTTTTCTTCCTTTTCCCTTAAATCTACTGAAAATTACTTTATCAGGTCTATCAACTTGGAGACTCCCATTTTAGTGTATTAACTGAAATAACCTGAGAAATGACTGATCATTAAAGAAATATGACAACAGTCACCCAAGGAAAAAATCATGAGATAAATTCACTACTTTCCCTGGAGCCAGAATTGATCTATTCATATAAACAATCTGAAATATCCCAACAAAAATATAATGAAATATAAAGCAGCAGCTCTTTTTTATTTTTTTTTTGGCTTTGCCTGAATTTTAGAGAGCTGATGAGAGTAAGATATCTATGTACCATACACAACTGTGCACATCTTCTCAGGCCTGAGTAATCGTGACATCAATTCACAACAAGTAATTAGCATCCACAGACTTGAGTGGATTAGCAGGAGTATGGAAAAAACAGAACCTGTAGACACTAAAAACTTTATTAGAACAAGTTGTTTAAAATTTCAAACTCTGATATACAATTAAGTAATATTGTGCCTTTCAAATATTTACATTACAAAATAATTTGGAACAGCTATTTGATAAAACAGTTGAATATACAGCAGTCTCACATCAGAAAGGTAACAAAAGCTCAATTTAGGGTCCCCCAATGAGTTTAGCATTACAAAAAAGTTATTTTTTAATCTCAGAGCAAGAGTTATCTATGAATCTATAACTTATGTTATCTTGAAACTAAAAGAATCTTCATTTTTGCTGAGGTTAATGTTAGGGTTATCTGCTTTACAAGTGCATAAGCAACCTTATGTTTGTAACTTTCTGGAAGAGTTATTTCTATTTTGTTAAGATATTGATTTTTAGCATATCTAGGAGAGGTGTTGGTTCTTAAATACCCTTCTTATTACCTATGTATTTCTCAAATAAATCATCCTTTTGATTTGTAGCTTTTCTGCAGGACAAGAAGGCCTCATGCTGTAAATTAGATGTCAAATTGTCTTGAAGTGCTGGATAACTACTGAAATTATTGAAGAAAACGGAAGAAGAGGTAGCAGTTCCTTAGGGATCATCAGGTTTGTGAAACATTTTAGAACAATATGCAGTGGGAGACACTTCCTGTTTCCATGCTTTTTTTCATTTTCTACTGAGGGATGATAACTTGAGTTATCAACTGATAATTGATAACATCTATGAGTAGCTACTCGCAAGGTGATGGTGAGGTGGGTTTGCTTAGATCAGGCTAACGATGAGGATATCACCACAGAGGCTTAAATGCTCTGTTGGGCATGGTGATAAAATATTTTTTAGAGTTTGCTGCTATCTTATCTGTTGCCTGGTTGTTCTCCTTTTTATTTTGTGGGTTAGAGGACCCGACTGTGTGAATGATTTAGGGAAAATGAAGGTGCACCAACAGAAGGTGTACAGTTAATAGTCATGAACTGGAATATTATAATGTTTTGGCTGTAGTAATGCAGGCATAAAATGGTCTAAATCCCCTGTAATTCAATCCACCCACAAAATTAAAATACTGAGGCAAAACTGTGAGAAAGGAAATGACCAGGAACTGATGAAAAGTGTAAAACAGGAGAGCAAGGGGCATGCGGACAAGAAGAAGAGGGAAATACCAAATGGGATGAGGGAGGAGAGGGGCCAAAGCAGTGCCCGTGGTGGTGAAGCTGCATCCCTGAACTCTGTGTGCACAAAAAGACTTGTCTGTGAGTGAGTGAGCAGGCACTGGGCAGTGGCCATGGCCAATGCAGCCCTCAGTGTGAAAGTTACGATCAAAGAGAGAGACCAGCGGGCTGAAACAGAGCTGGGCTGAAGAATCAGATAAATGAGTGAACCCCTCCATAGTTTAGGGCTAGGGGAAGAATAACAATAATGTATAAATGTTCAGGGGAAAGAGAAATAATAAAAATTATATTTGTCTAGTAGGGAGGGAGGGAATCTTTTAGAAATATCCATAACTATACTGAAATGCAAATTACTTGACCCTTGGTCTGTTTCACAGAAGGAGGACAGGACCTGATGATATTTGGTGAGATTTGATGGAATGGTACATTTTTTCAGTAGTATTCAGCAACTTAATATAAGTTTGCACTTTTAAAAATCAGTAGATAGAGAAAATTTCTGTCAGAATTGGTTAAGGATGTGCCCAAAGCCTTGTTTTGTATTTTTAAATACAAAATAAGAAAAAAAATCCTGAGGGAAAAGTTTTAAGAAAAGTTCCTAAAGAGGCAAAGAAATTCTCTAGCATGCCAGAATTTAGAGAGGGTAAGTGACATGAATATTTATAAACCTCTAACCTAGGCATTAGTTCTGGAAAAAATGGATTTTAAAGCTTTATATGGAGATTGATCAGTCATGAACACTGGAATAAGAATTAATGCTTAATGACATAAATTTACAGAAAATACATTCTCTCAAGGTAAACTTGACAAAATATATAAATTAAACCTATTCTCTGAGAAACTTATTTGGAACCGTGCAGCCTTTTATCTGGCAGAAGTACTGTCCAGAATTAACATTAACCCCAAACCATCAGCATGCACAACATAGGCTCTTTTCAAATGCCACAGCAAACTGAGTCACTATTATCAATGTGTGGCTCAGACAGGGTGATGGATCATCAGTGTGCCAGAACTGAGTTAAGCCATACAATGTCACCCTCGGGAGCTGGTTAATTTTCAAAAGCAAAAAAAAATGAAATATGAAAGGCAAGGCCTCCATGTCCAGCTGTGCTTCAACTCTCTCCAGGGAGAAGGCAGCAGCTGTTGGACACGGAGCTGTGTGGACTGGAGCATGATGTGGTGAGAGTCACTGCTGGACACTGGTGCCCTGAACTGCTGGGTCCCACTGACTGCACTCCAACCACACAGCTGGTAATGGTCTTAAAATACAGCTTTTTATCTTGTACCATTAGAAAAAAACCCTCAGTATCTCTGTTTTGGGCATCTTCAGGTTACTGCTTTACAAATTGCAGGAAACCTGAGCAAAACATCTTTGTCTGTTAGAAAGAAGTAGCTAGCAAAACTGCTACTGGAAAATACCTACTCCAATATTTCAAAATTTTCTAAATTTCAGTCTTCCACTTTTTCTTCCCCTTGCGACTGCATTCTTTTAAACCAATATTCTACGTGATGGCTTTACTGCTAGGAAATAGTGGAAGTGTTTAAAAAAGAAGTTGTGAAAGATGAACTCAAAACACTTCTTTCAAAGTTAAAAATCATCCAAACAGGGAAAATTTATTTACCATCGCTCACTTACTAAATCCAATATTTGCAATAAATTGTTTTGAAACAGTGAAGAAATCTTTTATTCTTTGAGGAAATTACAAATCAAGTCAAATTCAGTAATGAATTAATATGGTTAGCTCTAAACATTTTTTTCCTTCTGTATTTCGACATGTCTTGAATTATTCACAAACCATCCTCTGTCAGCGATACTTAGATGCCATCACAGAGGCTTGGGGCATTTGCTTTCTCTTTTTAATCAAGCTATGCATGGTAACTTATTAGTGCATTATTTGCAGGCAAAGCAAAACTGATCATATTAAACATGTACTGAGTGGGAAGGCATTACATACTCTATTTAAATAGAATATGAGGATAGGTAAGATATAAGATACGGTAGGATATGAATCTGCTATTTTAAATAAGGTACAAGAAGCTTTGCCCAGACAAGGATCCACTTTTATGTGTGTTACATATTTAAGGTACTAATCCCTAGGAGACATGGTAGCTAAAATCAATGGACACAGTCAAAACATTCATATTTCCACCTTGAGGTATCCCAGGAGTCTGATTTTTTTTCATTGTAAGTAAGGGTGACCAGGCACACTCCGAAGTCCATATCCTTTAGATACTGCAGGCTCAGTATTTAAAAACAGAAGCAGCAGAAAACCTCCTGTATCCGAAAACCTTGACCAAGTAGTTAGGCATAACACATACTTATCTAAATCTGCATTTAATGTGAGTACTGAATTGCTTAATTTTTCAACCTCACTCATTTTTTTAAAAAAGCAATGTTTTAAAGTTGAATATTCCTGAAGTAGGTGGCTGGAGAGCAGCCCTGGGCAGGGAGAGGAGTTACATGGGGAGAGTTAGCCCAGGGTGCTCATCCGTGGAACTGAAAGGCATTCTCAAAATAATACTTTTCACCACTACAACGCCTTTAATCTGAAAACCAAAAGCACTCTGCAGAGTCTGTGCCCTCGCTGGGCTGCAGTCACCTCTGGCTATTCCTTTGAGAGGCTTTTCAGCTGCTGTCTGTCCTCGGAGCTGGTCTGTCAGTCCTAGCCTGGTACTCCCCAACAGCAGGCCTGTGCAAATCAGTGCACTGTTCAGAAATAAGCAAATTGAGAAATAAACTTTGCATAGGCATGAGCTTCATCTCCATCAAACCAGGGTGGTCCAAAATTATGGACACTGAAACAAATACCCACAAAAGCAAACCAGAACAAAGAAACCCACCAAACCCGGAACAGAATTTGTTTTAAGTGCAGCACAATACACAACTGCAGAACTAGACAGAAACATGGACTACTTTGAGAACTTTTAGCAGGGGTGAAAAAGAGGTTTGTCTTGATTTGTGGTGAAGCTCATTGCAAAAACAATTTTAATCAGTCCTTAATCTTGCTGCAGTACTTTGCTTTTTGTCTTTTTTTTTCTCCTTTTTCTTTTCTTCTTTTCCTTTGGTGATGTTTCCTTTCTGAAGACCATATAAAGCAGGACACAAGAAATGCATTTGCTTCTCTGGCCTTTTGAGATGAATTATATTTAAATCCAGTTCTTCCAGTATCTGGGGGATGATGAACTTGTGTGCTGCATCCCTTTAGTCAGTTCTTTGCTGTCCTGAGGACTTCATGATTCACCATCACTGTGTAGAGATGGAAAAGAAAAAAACACTGTCACACTGTTAGTTGTCTCAGCAGGAAATAACATGCAAGAGTATCTGCAGAGTTCATGAGAATGTGTTACCAGAAAATAAATCTGTCACCTGTGCAATGGATGAACTGACACTGGCAGTGAGGGCTGCTCTGATTCCTGATGGTTCATGTCTGCCCAGCACAGCCTTTCATCTGCTCCTGGCTCTCTTTCTGCAGCTGAGGATAACTTTGGAATTTTTGGTTTATGTCTGACCTCATAACAGGTGCATTTTCTCTTTGTCCCACTGGTTTCTGCCCAAGTGGCTCATTCCCTAGCACTGTCTTAATAATGTTTGGCTCATGCCAATGTTAAAAAATGTGACATCTTCTATCAGCTGATTTGAATTCAGTCAGCAGGGATAACAGCAGGGTTTTAAATCACCTCTGAAGCTTAAAGAGCCATTCATAACCTTAATATTTTACAGGTTTTCTTAAGTCTCTTGCCAAATTGAGACCCATTTTGGGAATGCAGTACTTCTTACCATCCATTGACTTACCATCCACCCAAAACATTTCTCCATAAGAAGGAGTCATCCTTTTTCAGACAGAAAGACTAGGAGGGTGCCCAGCAGCACCCAAGACAAACCAAACCTCCCAGGTGATAAAGCACAGGTGGATTGCTTGTACTCCACCCCCTACCATGGCCCATGCTGTGAAGGGGGCAGGCTGCACTTATTTTTCTGGGTCAGTAAAGGTCCCTGGAGCAGAGATAGGTCTCTACCCCGTTGTGCTCCACAGACCATCAGCCCTTGCCTGCTGGCCCTGCACACACTGCCTGCTCCTTCCTGCATGCACAGGTTGGGAGCCCTGGCCCAGGGTAGCTGAGGGGGTTTTTCAGTTTTGTGCTCAGGCACAACCAGGATTCCAGCAGTAGGTTTCAAAGGCAAGAGGTTAAGGCAGGAGGTTTTAATTCAAATACACATATTTTGAAAAGTGAACATAAATGTTAAAAATGTGTATACACTTAGGTTTGTAACTTATACTATATACCATAAGTATATAATAATAGAATACCATAATATAATAGTATAATATAATATATACTATAACCTATAGGTTTGTAACAGCCTTCAAGGCCAGGGTGGGTGACCTCCACCTATCAGGGATCCCAGGTTGTCATAGGTTGCCTCCTGTGCATAAATGTGCAGCCTTGATGCCCACGAGTACAAATTTTGCCATAATAATGGTTTTGGCTTTTTATTTCTAAGTCTTTCACTTTCCCTGCTCGAAAGAGCTGCTGAACACATCTATTTATGTGTACGTAGTTCTCTTTCTGACATTATTTATTCATCTAAGAATTTGGTTGGGAAAAGCAGCAGATCTTGGACTGATAAGTTTCAATTGCAAATAAACAGGAAGCAATTTTTTGTTTGTTTACTCAGAAATTCCACCACTTCAAATATTTTTTCACATTGAAATGAAGCATATTTCAAAATTTCACGTGAAATTAAATTTGAAGAAGTAGTCTTGGGGTAAGGAAAACATTCAACATAGAAATATTTTACTGCCACACAGTTCTGTTCTTCAAGCTTTCAAAAATTTTTATATTAAAAATTCACTTACTCTGAAGAGTAGTTTTGGGACAACCTTCATTCTGAAAATTTCAAAGTGTCTTTATTGAAATGTTTTGTCTTGTATGTTTTCAAAATTATATCAGAATCATTCATAGTTCAATACATTTTTGTCTTGATGAAGTCTCCCTCAGCATCTTTGTGAAGCAAGAAAACACCACCTCTGTCCAGTGTGGCCTCGAGATGTTTCCCATACTAAAATACCGATAAAATCTAAAAAATAAATTGCCCTAATTTTAGAAGAATTTTGCCCAAACAAAGCAGTCTTTCAGAATCTCAAATTGAATCTAATATTCCTGCACTTTTTGTTCAACTAATATCCCTTGTCTAAGCAACTCTGAATGTTTTAGAGATAAATCTCCTATTTTTACTTGCATTTGTTTGCCTTTCTACAATTTAGGGGCATAACTTTTTCTAATCTAGTCTGATTCTAAGATACCATTCACAAGAAAATCTGCTTAAATAATGTGCATGCCTTTGCTCTGACTGAAGTATACTTATCGGAAGAGGGTTGCTTTTTTGTAAGGCTTAAGCCTCACTTTAGTGCTATGAAATAACTCTGTTTTACAGATGGGGAGCTTGAGGTAGGGTGTAGCCCAAAGATGCCTTTTGATAGCCAGGAGCAAAACCTCCTTCTTGTGATGAGGTTAATGCAAATCCAGTACAAAAACATTCCTTTAGCAAGGATGGTAAAACAACAGCTCAAGCTGGTAGGCCATGATGATTTTTTTTTTTTTTCCTTAAGATGAATTGTTAAAGATTTGGAAAGTATACTTGATGCTGAGGATGGTGTTGTGCTTAAAAAGCCTTCTACAGTATAACTTCTGCTGGTGTTAACTTATGGCTGAAGCATCCTTTGTCCTATACTCCCTGGTATAGGGAGTGGTATGCTCAGCAAATCTGCTTTGAGAGAACTGCTGTGCAGCTGCCTCTCCTTAACAATTTTCCCCCCTCTGAGTTATCATTTAGCAGCAGGAAGGGAAGACACAGATGGCTAACAAATCCAGGATCTTTTCCAGTTGCTAAGGGTAAAATTAATGTGCTTGCTTGCATCTGGAACCTAGCATCTAAGCTTTTTTTTTTTTTAAACAAAACTGAACTAAAACAACAACAATGATTTCACTTGCAAGAGGTGTAAAAAGAAACCTTTTATGTACAAGTGGCTGTAGTGGACAAGCCTCGTCCAAAGGTTCCTCTGAAACTGCAGCTTTGGAGCAACTGAGCTGAAACCTCTGCAGCAGTGGTGATTTAACATCCCTATTTCACTCCTAAGCAAGGAAATTCAGAAAAGAGGATTGGAATACTATGACAGTCCACAGTGAGAGGTACAATTCTGCCAGAGAGGCATGTTCAGTGGAATTATCCAATGCCATGGGAAGCAGAAGACCTAGGTCCTCTCCCTGCTCCTGGCCTTGCCTGACTGCATCACTGCTTCCACTGCACCAGGGATTTCTTGGCACACAGGATGTCTTGTTTATCATAATCTGGCACAGAGAAGCTGCTTTGCCCACTCCTCAAAATGCAGCTGCAACACAAGGGTGCAGGCAAGGGCAATGTGCAGCCTCTTGTTTCCAGCTGGAAACAAGAACCAGAATTTTTAATTAGGGAAAATTGCAAGGGGTTTAGGAGTTCTAGCCAAAATCCTGAGGAAACCAACCAGAAAGATTTTAAGCTTACAAGCTGTCAGGATTCCGGTTTTGCATCCCACTGGGATCTCTGCTTGGACTATCAACTAGTGCCAACTCTGGGGGAGTGCTGCAAGGGGGCACCGGGAAGATCCTTCGTGCCTCTCAGTCTCATTTTTTTCTTGGAGTCAGACAAGTCCCTGTCTGTCAGGTCACAGCTCCAGCCAAAACCTCTGGCAGTGTTCCCCAAGAACCTATAGGCACCAGGTGGCAGAGGGGAGCTGGGTGCCTTTGGTGAAGAGTGCCAGGGAAACTATACTGAATGCTTGTATTAACACCTTGGGAAACTGTGATTAAAGTCTGATCAGTGAGTGAAACTCCATCTGTGCCATCTGGTTGTCTGTCTTGCACCATTTTACAACTGTAAGATTATTTAGCAGTGCAGTTTACAGGAAGAGACCTTTTCAGAAATAAGGGTGTCAAGCCTTTAAGTTGAAGTCAAAGTTTCTAAATGTAAAAATTTTAAAACTTAAATGGACCAAAGAATAATTCTATAATTACATAAAAAAAATCCAGATTATTTTAGTATTATATAGTATTTTATAGTATTGTATATTTAGTATGTATTATATATATTGCTATATATATTATATAGTATATTATATAGTATTATATATTTAGTATTTTGTATTATTTGAAGAAATATATTGACTGTATTTCTTCAAATGATATAATGAATTAAAGTACCTTGGGTTGGCGATTGATTCTTTTTCTTCTTCTCTTACAGTAGGCAAACATTCACAGTCACCTGGAAAAGGTAAGAAACAAGACTGCAGTTACTCTTGGCAGTTGTTCTACATTTATTTCAAAAGCACATCAACTTTTATCAAGCAGTCACTCTAGAATACAGATCTGCAGGTGCACTTCTGCACCCTTTTATCTGCACGGTCCCCATAGCATAAATCTTACACATCTTTCCCTTTGATAGGTGTTGCCACCATTTATTTATTATATATATGTTAGTTCTTTATGTACACCTATACAGATAAGCTGCTTTTGAGGACTGTCTCCACACACACACACACACACACACACACATACACACACACACAAAAGAAAGTGTGTAAAACATTTGCTCCCTTCTCACCAGGAAATTTTAAAAATATATTTTACACCACTTTTTTCCCACGTAGTACACTTAATTCCTCTCTTTCACTACTGCCACTTAGCACATGTTTTCTACAAGAGCTTACAGACCGCGAAGGTCAAAACCCCATCATGCGGAGCACTGTGCTAAGGCAAAGAAATGCTCCAAAGAGCTTTATGTCCTGAAAAACAAAGCATGCCCAGTAGGTCAGGCAAATGAGCCTTTTGGATAGAAGGCAAGGGACCAGGAATGAAAAAAAAATCAGTGTTTCAGCATTTCCTAGCCAGTGGAAAGTTGCTCATGGTTCAAAATTAGGCCTTGGTTAACTCATGGCTTACCAAAGACCCACATTTTTTGAGGACACCCTGGAAGGACAATGCAGACCCCCAAGACATTTTGACTGGAAATTCACCTGGGAGAAAAATGGAGGGAAAAATGCAAGGTACTTATAAGTAACTGAGAAAGCAGCTGAAGATGCTGCTGCTGGTAGTTACTGCATGTTCTAATTGCTCCATGGGCTGATAGCATTGCAAGGGAGGGGAAGGGTATATTCATAGGTTCCTGGTGGCAATTTTAAATAAATGGTGGTCTCAACTATGAGCAAATGCCTATTTCTTCTACAATACCTCAATGTAGAGCTCAAAAGTGTAGAAATTCTGGAGACTGAAAGGACTAGATGCTTCAGAGAAGCTAGTAAATAGCATTAAAATGTGAATTTAAAAATATAAATAGCATTCACAGCTATAAGTGTGTTTAATAGAAATGTCTACTGGAAACTGAAAACATTTATGAGATTCTATCACATATTAAAAATAAACTCCCACACAAACTAAAATACTCCTCTGAAAAAAATCTACCTCTGACATTTGTTCAGTTATTTTAGTAGGAGGGAGTCAAGAGCACAACTAAAAATGTTGTAGGAAAAGCAGTGATACACATACAAAACACCTTCCTATGCATGGGATCTACGTCAGCAGGCAAGAGAGGGAGGATGGAGTAGAGGGGTTACCATGTACCATTTTTGTTCATGCTGTTCATCCATTTATCAAGCTCCTCCATTTCTATCTCCATAACAGAAGGTGTGTCTTCTTCAAAAATAGGACTTGAGAGAAGAGGGGGGGGGGGAAAAAAGCATTACACAAAATGCTTAATTCAAACAACTTACAATGTAGTGATTTTGTATGACTCCACTATAAATCCAGACACATGTATTAACTCTGGAAAGCCATCCTAGCCCAGTAATCTGAAGAGAGATCAGCCCAATGGGTGTGAACCAAGGGGCCACAAAGAGAAACGAGGGAGCGGTACCAAGCTGCCAGTCCTGGGCAGAAGTAGGGCCAGCTGAGACATAACACGCAGAGGGACTCAGATTGTGCAGCCAGAGACATGCCAGGGCATAGGATCACTGCAGATTCTTGAAAACTGTCCCTGTTGTAAATAGAAAACTAAAAAAAAAAATAGGATAGTTTGTCCCTGCCCTCCTGGAACACGTGACAGAAGTACCACTGTTCCAGTGTTAAAAGCTGAAGGCCTAAAGTTTCATCGTAGCTATGACTGACATTTGCAGTGACTTCAAAAGGAAAGGTCACGAGAGCTGCATTTATTTAAATGCCTTTGCTTAGCTTCCTTTTGCTTATCATTCCTGCAGTCATATGGTAGAAAATCTATTTTTAGCAAAAAAAAATTGTTTTTTCACTTGTAGAGCCAATTCATGAACTTTCAGCATTGATTAGCAAGATGGAGGTAATAGAAAACAATAAAAATTATGACTCTCATAAGAGCCACACAGCTTCTGTCTTGTTTTGCAAGCATCTAAGGCACTGTTCCTGTGGCAGCCAGGCAAGCCTTTGTGCCTCATCTCTGAGTAAGAAGATAAACTTGAAAAACAGGGGAGCAAGACACAGAGCTTATTCTGAATAGCAAAAGCCTGTGATGAGCCTGGGAACCGATCCCCTTTGCTCATGGGGCACCTTGTACCTCTTGTGGCTGATGGAGCAGGAGGTGCCTAAGAGCAGGCTCAGCAAGGGCTGTGGGTGTCTGTGGGGCAGCCCTTGCCTCAGTCACCACTAACTCTTGTTCTCCTGCTCTAGTCTTACACTTCAGCCACAACCTGAAGTCACACTTTATCCACCCATTCAGATTGCTGGTTCAATTGATGGCAGAAAGTAATGATGTTTAGTGTACAGCTGAATTAAAAGAGGCAACAAAGGAGACAAAGGTTAGAGTAAAAAAACCTTTTTTTAAAGGAATGATATTCATAAAGTTTACCTTTTTACGTTTTCGCTTCCCAGCTCATCTGAAAAAGAAGAAAGTTGGTGTTCATATTTCTGCATATTTACCCATTTTATTCACAGGGTCCAGACAGCATGCAAGCCTTGAATAAGGCCAAGTAAAACAGATTGCATTTTCAAAAGGCATAAAAACTAAATTACAGATGAAAGACAAAACATTTTCTCCTGTTTGCAATTTTTAGAGGAACCCATTACTTCAAACCTAAAAGCATCTCATTATTAGCTCAGCCATGCTGGGAGGAAGCCCAGTGTTGGTGTTGCAGTGGGCAGGACAGGGCAGATGCACACTTCCTTCAGCAAAACAGATGTGCTGAGGGAAACGGTATCCTGAAAAGGAGCCACTTCTGCATAAAAATTGTTTACTGGAAGCACTGGGACATTTTGCTACAGATTACACTTGGGTAATTCAGCTCTGTCTGGAGACTCTGGGAGTCACTCATGGGGAGAAGGGCGGGGGGCAGTTGGACTGCATGGCAGATTAGATCTCACTTAGGCAAATGAAGCTGAACTAGCCAGATGTCAAAAGGGATCCAATCTACTTATGACTCCAAGACAAAGTAAAAATTGGCGGGGGGAATGGTGTCACAGACATAATTCTGGTAAATATCTTCACCTCCAGGAATCAAGTGACTGAAAAACCTTTATCAAAAGGTTTTATTTTATTAAAAATAAATCACTTTATTTTTAATTCATTGTTGGCAGTGGGTGATACGTCCCAGTTGTTCCAGCACACTCACAGACTGCAGAGCCACCCCAGAACCACAGAGCCATCTGCTCCAGCCTTGAGGATGCTCAAAATCCCAGGCTGTCACAGGGCATGAGGTCCTAGGATTGTGTTCTAAAAGGCACCACATTTCCTAACCCTCTGAAGAGTATACCTGCATTTCAATCATCCAGAAACAGGCAGGCAACTGGGTGCCTGGTTGCAAATTCATAGTTTGTTAGAGGGAAACCCAGTGATCAGGCAAATGCAACCTAAAAATGCCCTGAAAACTTGATTTAAAATCTGTTGAATGTATTGCACTGTCTGCAGGCTGATGAGCTGACAGCTGCACTCTGACCATGTAAAGACTCTGGCACGACCATCTCAGAATTTCACTTACCAACTATGTGGTTTTAATATGACACCTCAGTTTGCTCTCCTGCTGCTTGACACTCCAAGTTACCAATTCCTTTGTTAACAGATCACAGCACCTTCCTGAAGCATTGCTCACCCTACTGCAGTACCCAGGCAGTCTGACCTATCTCATTTGCTGTGATGTCTTCATAACAGCCTCCACCCCATGGAATCTGGATTCCTTAAAACTGTTCCTTAAAATTATTTTTCTTGTGCTTATTTCAGTGAAGCTCCAAGCAGCTTTACCTTGTTGGCACTCTGGGCAGTAGAAGCATTAATTTCACCCTGCCTGAAGTTGTTGAGCATAAAGACAGAACACGCATTTGCAGCCATGGCTGCATCCCTGAGCATTCTCAGCATTTCCAGGAGCCAGAGATTGGTGCCAGGGCTTCCATGGGTGTGGCAGCATGAGCAGGATGTGCCAAGGGGCAGAAGTAGCTTCTGCCCAAGGAGAGGTGTGTGACCAGGTACTGCTGGCTGGGGAGGATCCCTCTCTTACTTGTCAAACATGCAACTACAAGCAGAGAAGGGCATCCTAAGTGTGGCATCCCATGCCTCAAAATAATGTTCTGTTAATGTTGAACACATCCTAGAAACAGCCTTTTGATTCGCAAGAAGACAAATTTACCTTGCTTGGACTTTTTCCTTTTATGATGCATTATAAAAAACGTGATCAACAAAATCACCAGTACCAGCAGCGCCACAGGGACAGCATATATCAATATAGACTGTTCTGCTGCATCTAGGCTGTCCTCATCATTCACAGCATTCAGTTCAGTACTTGGAGAACTCTGTGTTTCAGAGCTGCTTTCAATGGTGCTTTCAGTTACAAGTACTGGCTCATCCACAGTCGAAGGACCCGAAGCAGGAAGATGTGTTGCTGTAAAAGTGGGTAATATCATCGATCCATCTCCTGATCCATCAAATGCAGGGTCTGTCAAATACATGAAGACAACATTTTAAGGGTTTCATTAGTATTATCAGTGAGTCAAAGTGTACAGCTGTAGTATTTACTTCCCATTTGATATCTAAAAAAAACAACAGCAGATGCCCCATACAAACAGATTGGAAGTCATTGGCATTGGATGTAAAAGTAGATCTCAACTTTGTCACATAATCTTACCAGTCATGACCATGTTCTTCAGCTGACTTTTACTGGGACACGTCAGCATGTGTCATCTGTCTGCACACAGCTGCCTTGCACAAACAGACTTCTTTTCCTGCAGGTTGGCATCCGGTCTTGCTCACATGCAAAATTATTCTGCTTCTCAACAAACCACACCAGCCTGTTTTGCTTTACAGTCTTGGCCCATATGCCCCCCTCCGCCCCACCCTTACCCAAGGAGTTAGGTACTGCCTTCAGGTAGACCATTATCCCTGGTTCACCAATGCCTTTGGCTCACCTATCTCCCTGTTTCTGTGCCTTTCTCAAATTTGTCAAATTTATCTCACTGTGGAAAACAGAATTGGTTAAAGTAAGTCTGAAGGATGCAAAAGCTGCTGACTTCCACTTCTGCATGGACTAGAAGAGGTGGTAGTAACACGGGGAGCTTGCTGCATACAATTAACTGTTCTTCTGACTGATTCTTCAGGCTGGCTGAAGGAGTGTATAGCAAAGCATCAGTGCTGGACATTCCCCATAAGTGCTAAGACTGGGGGTTTTGAACTTTTGATCTCAGTTCTAGTTTAATTTATCACGTATTGTGCGAGAAAAGTGGCTAAAATTGGCTGTGTCAGTAATAGTGAAAGAGGTGCTTTTTTTTTGCATGTTTAGGTTAGAGTCTCTATAGAGTCTCTATTCTATACTGATGCCAAAAATCCTGTTGTAGCCAGAGGAGCAAGTATCAGTCTTTAGATAAATTACAACAGCAAAGCCTTCAATAATTTTCTTGGCATGAAATTAAATGATGGGCTTTTTCTGTGTTATCTGCCCTTTCAGATACAATGCTGGAATGGTGCACATCTCATTTTATGCAATAAAGCAGGATGGGATTTCTTGACTTTTGCAATTACATGTTTCTCCTTGTTCTTGTAAAGTGCTGGGCAGCCAGAGTTTCCACTAGAGTTAGCAAGAGCTTAAGATTTTCAGCACCTTAGTTCTGGCATTTCCAATCTCACAGGACTGGAACCAAAAGTACTTAGCATTTTAAATGCTTTTGTAAACACATAAATCTTCATAATGGCCCTGAGAGATGAGCAGTTATCATCTCCATTTTATAAATGCAAAATCAGAAGGACAGGGATGCTGTCCTTCCCAGGGATGCCAAGTGAGAGAGAAAAACTGAGATTAGAGCGCTATCTCATGCTTAATCCACTCTGCAGCATCTCCTCTCCCATCAGATTTGTCTCAAAGAGGAGATGAGTATTTCATGAGACTGTGTTCAAGGAAACCCAATTTCAGATGAATAAAATTATTTGAGTGTGACAGCAGTGTTTTATCTAGATTTTTATGCTGCATATATCACACAGGCATCTGATTGTTTCATCCTTTCCTAAAAGCTAGGAAAGAATTTGAATACTTAATGTAATACTGTGAAGGTCACCAGACTCCTGCACCACAACAGGGCAATGAAGATGATACCTCTTCTGTGGCAGATCACTTTGTATCAACAGTCTGTCTCTTCTGTATTTAGTATTTCAGTCAAAAGCAAAACACAATCTCTGCCTCCCTCGCAGGCAACGACCCCCTTAGGTGTGTGCTGCTCCACCCCTTCCCTCGATCTGCTGGCTGTCCTTACTCTTACTGCAGAGGACAGGAGGGAGAGCTCCTCTCCCTTATTAGTTTGGCCATTTGACTTTTCTTTTCCAAGGTAGTTTTTAGCTCCCAGTGCCTGCAGCCACTCCATTTCAATTGCTGTTGTGCAGAGCGGCGAGGCAGCACGAGAGATGTCTGTGCTGCAGACTGTGGCATGATGGACTGTGCCACAGGCAGAGCTGATGGCCCACTGCAGCCTCCCTGAACCTCTTTGGTGACCTTGCTTCATATTCCTTCTCTAGCCATTGCCCTTGAAACCCATTGCCTGCCACATTTGATATATTGAGAGGGACAAGCCTGTTGCTTAAAATAGGAAAAGGGTGTGGAGAAAATACCTTACTTTTCATTTATTCATAGAGCTAAAATAGATTTTTCAAATGTCTAAGGCATGGTGTGGCTTTAAAGCAAAGCAAACAGTCACACCTCATTAACTGCAGTGATAAACTTTCAGCTGCAGAGTATGCTGTGCTTGATTTCCGAGAGAGATTTTTCCAGTATCTCTGCCACTTTGCCTGGTTTTGAACAATGAAGCAGACTTCAAACCATTTGTCTCTGTGAAATAGAATTACCTTTTCTAGTCTCTAGGCAAAGAAAATGGCAAATCACATGGAGTGACCTTGCTGCCACATATTTTTTTTACTTTGCATAATTCCAGGGACAAAACAGCATCTCTCTGGGAACACCATTTCCTCTTACAGAGATCTTTTCTCTGAGTGAATTAAATACATCTTTCAGCAGAAGGGCAGCCAATTGCACAATGTTCTTGCAAGGATATTGCTCTTATTTCCTGCATTTTACTTGCTGCCTCTACACATCCCTCTCCCCCGTCACCTCCGAGGAACAGAGCTCAGCCTCAAGGGATGCCTCACATGTCACCCAGCAGATGCTCTCATTCTCAGGCCACCCACACATCCCCCTTCTTACACAGTAGGAAAGCACAACCTGCACCTGGGCTGGCCCAGTGGCTCACGTCAGGGAAGGATTTGTGCCTCCAGTCCGGCAGGGAGAGTTGGACTCAGGCCTCCAGGTGCAGCTGCAGCGCCTGCCACAGCCGCCCACCCAGACCACATGAGACACACATGACTGACCTCAAGATGCTATTTTTCATAGTGTTTCAATTAAAGTCCTCAAAATAGGAAGTGGGCTGTGTTGCAGCTGGCCCTGGTGGCTGTTTGGTGGGGTGAATGAAAGCTGGGCTTTACAAGGTTTGGAGAAGGGCAGAATAACATCTGAAAGTTGGAGATTTTGTGAAATACTGGTCAAATATTTTCTCTAAGTCAGATATGCAGTGATGATATTCGTACCATGAACTGTCTTGTCACTGTGCTGGGGTTTCATCTTGCAGACATCTACTAGCTCCCTGCAAATGGGAATCATACAGCTATGCAGCGTGACATTCAGGATGGAAAAGCAAGGTCAGTGGAGTATAACAAAGAGCAAGTCACATGTGACCATATAGCTATCTCCTTGACTTTGCAAACCTTTCTCTTGTTGAGCTCAGCCTCATGCTGTTGGCTACATTCCAACATCCATACTCATCCCTCTGCACCTCTTGTCCAAGGAGCAAATGCTCATTCAAACACCACATGGGCTTCACCTTTGCCTGGACCACCTGGAGCATGAATGCTGGTGACTTCCTCCTGTGTTGAGGGAAGTGGATGGGAACACACCACACCACAGCTCCAGCCCAGCCTGTATTGCCACTTTCCACGCTTTCAAGAGAAGAAGGGAGAGGGGCTGACATGCAGCTGCATCCCACCCTGATGGGAAGGTGGGCACAGCTGGAACTGGAAGCTAAGAAGCTGGAGCTGGAAGTCAGGAAGTTCTAATTCAATTTAACTATTGTTGTAATAAGAAAAGCTTTCAACATCTTTCATGTCTCATCTTATACCAATAAAGCTAATAGTGAATAAAAAGCTCCAAAAGTACCTACCTACATCCCCGTCCCATTATTAATAAACAAAAATCCAACAACACTATAGTGTCTACTGACAGAAGAAAAAGCAATGAGATAGAGAAAAAGCAAGAGCTATGTCAGTGGGATAGCCAGGCTTGCTAGTTTGAAAAGAAAATTTCTATTTCTCCAAACTTTCTCATAAGCTATAAAGATGCAGTGAAAGGATAGCTTACGAGAAGGTGACAGAACAAGAAAAGGCTATAAAGCTGGAATCAATACACACATGGTGTAGTCATACCACTCCACAGGGTCTGTATGATCCTCTCTTGTATTGCTTGGCTCATCCCTGCACTGCTCCTCTCTCCACATTTCAGGTTGCTGTAAGAAGGGCTGCTCCTTGCCGTGGCCAGGGCTTGCCCGGCTGCCTGTTGTGGCAGGCCTCGCCTGTCAGTCTGGCTGGAAGAAGAATCCTTAAAAGCCTGCGGGCTAGCTGTTGGGAGCATATACTCTTCTGATGAGGGAGCACAAGCATTTCAGGATGGCTAATCTGTAGACAAGATCCTATTAAAAGGAGGTGCTTAGAAAGCGTTATCTAGGTATAACCTGAAAGAGGAAACAACTGTTTAAGCTCATTTATACAAGATGGAAACTGCTTTTCCTCACTGTATTTCTATCCAGCTGAAGTACTGCATTAACAGGTGGTGTTGCAAATTCAGTCACACATCTTAGAATGAAACTGTAGAATAAACCTGTAGTCTCATTGCTCACCCCCAGTACTAAAGGCTTTCCAGACCAATTTATGGATTTAGTTGCTTCTACTTAATCGGATGGCCTTCTAGCTCTGCATCTGTGATACCCATGCGACCTCCCTGTGATGCAAATCTCTGCTCCTTGCCCTCAGGAGGACCCTGAAATTAAAGATTCAAAAGCTCTGGAGGCTTCCCAGCTATCATAAAATCTCTGGAGGGAGAAGAGACTGGTGTCAGTGACTGAAAATTAGTATACAGTCTTGCTGATGTAAACGAGAGTTTTTCTGAAGTGTCCCTGAAGCAACTGAATAAAACAGTGAATGTTTGTGTGTGTGGCTAAAATGGAGGAATGGTAGTAAATACGCAGGAGAAGTTGACATGTTCAGTAGAAAGGATCTATGTGTTAGGGTGCTGCACTTTGGAAAGGGAAAATGTAGCAAATCCTCATTTCTTACACTGCTGCTTTGCTAGGAGATTTTAACAGGTGATTGTAATAGGTTCAAACCCATTCTCAGTTCATTGCTGTGGGGAGGAACAGGTCAAAACTATTGCTCTCTTAGAGACCTCGGCTTTGCAGGGAAGACAACCTAAAAGACACTTGTCTGCCAAGGAGAGAGTCACTACCTGTGCTCGTGGTACAAGCTGCTGAACATCTGGATCCTTGATAACAGTGCTTCTTTGAATGACAATTCAAAACAATAGCACAAAGACACAGACAAAATAAAGCACTACCTGCAACCACTCCAGCTCTTCCACTTGGTCATCTTACATGTTTTACTGTTCCTCTCCCTCATATGTTTTCTTGCTCCCCATGTCAGACCATTTATGCTGCAATTTCCAACATGTTTCACCACATGCAGTGGGAGATGGCCTAGCCTGGGAAATGACTCAAGGGTCAGAGTAGTAAGGGTCTTAATGCTTGTTACTAGGGTCAGCACAAACACCTAGGTAGGTCTCCAGGGCTGCTGCAAGGCTGAGCAGTGAGTACCATCCCCTGCAGCAGAGATGATGCCCTACACTATTACCTGTAGGGCTTCCTGACTGCATTAAAGTGGAAGGGAACTGCTGCAAATCCCAACAGCCCCTCAGTGTGGAGCTGGGAGAAGGCCAGCACTCAGAGCTGAGACCTCAGGAATGCTCTCAGAGCTACTGGATTAGAGTGATTGTAGCATCACAGGGAGAAAAACATCCATAAATCATAATCCAAATGGCAAGGCTAGGCTTTTACGAGATTCTGGCATAGTATGGGAACAGGACTTATAAAGACTTCAATCTGTCTGTGCTGTAAGATTTAATCATACTCTGTTTGCCTATTTTGTAAATGGTCTCTTGACAGCAGACAACTTAAAAGGTGAAGACTCTGTCTGGCAAAAGGTAAAAAAGCTCCCTTAAAGTTCCTGCCCTGTTGATCTGTGAGCAAGGAAGGGTGAGAGCAAAGAATCTCCCTGGGAGGCTGCTCTCAGTGGAGGGGTTCCTGACCCACCAGTGCCTGTGGGGAACATAAGCCCTACATAAACTTCCCCCCACCAGTTTAATTTCCCCCCCAAGGCTCAAGTTCACAACTTCCCCATCCAACCCTTGCAGTCAGAGTTAGTCCCCAGCTACATTTTGGGGCTGGTTGCATAGGCAAAAACTGTCTTTGTGTGGGGAGCAAAGGTGGGTGCTCTCCTCCCCTTCCCCTACGACTGTGGATTGGCTCCATAGTCAGAGCTCACAGGGCTTGGGGAGGGCTCTGGCAGGACTGACTCACTCTCAAAGAGGAATCATTCCAAACCAGAATTTAAAGGTGGACCTAGTGGTAGGAAGTGGGGAGTGTGGGGAGTGCGGCACACCTGGTGTGTGACATGTGCCAGGAGCTTCCTGCAGCCCCCAGTGCCCATTGCAGAGAAGGGAAGGGGGGCACCCAGTCATGAGCTGAGGAGCCCCGGGCTATGGCATCCCCTCCCCATGGTGACGTGGTGATGAAATAATAGTTCTCAGTACCCTGCACAAGAGCTAGAGAAGCAGGAGCCTGATCACTCTGCATTGCCCTCATTGCCTTCATTGTACTCTTCCATTTCCCTGGGATCTGCTTTGCTCTGCCCATGGCAGGACTTTTGTTTCGCTGACCACTTTGATTCTGAGCTACACTCAATGCTCGCAGCATATTTTCCTAATGTGGCTGCAATGCAGCAGGGCTGTAGTAACACAGCCAAACCCAAAACATTTTATACCTCACTTAGCTCGCTTGTACAGTTAAGCAAGTTAAGTGCAAGCAGCTCAGCAGCACGTCAGGAGCCTGCAGCCCAGCTCTACACCCTGCTTATAGTACTGTTCTTCAGGGGAAAAGCACTCACAGCAAAGCACCGATTCCAGCAGTGCATTTTAGGACATGAAGAGAAGTCCAGTGATGTCTGAGACTGACCATCCTCTCTTCCTGCCTTCTGTAGAGCTCCCGCTCGCTGCAGCAGCACAGAGGCAGCAAACACTTCTAATCCTTACCAGGGCACCTCGGCAGGGACTTGTTTGACGCCGAAAGGCTCACAAGCACTGCCTCGGCAGGTGGTAGGTGCATTCCTGAAGAAATGCAGCTCACTACGAGAGCTGCCTGTCATGCTCAATCTCTGGCTGCCAAAATGCCAGTGGAACCAATGACCCCTGCAAACAGGCGAGTCTCTGCAATGACACCCCACCGCCCCAGCATTTTGCCACAAGCTGCTTTTCCGCTCATGGTTCTTCTCTTCCAAGGGTCAGAACCTTAGTCCATGGTGCCAGCCACTTTGTTCTGCAGCTGAGAGTTCAAAACATTTTGTCTCCGGAACCGGCTGTTCCTTTGTTAAACCAGTTTCAGTGCACCGGGACTGCGGAAATCGGCAGTCACCTTTTGAATGGAAGCAGTGCTTTGCCTTTAACTTTGTTATTAAACAAAGTCAAATAACTTTGTGGTGTGGGGTTTAAAAAGGTTCAGAAAGCAACTAAAATTAGAAGCAAAATGCCTGATGGGTCAACGTGGAAGCTCCGGTTCCCTACACACCTGCAATTTAGGAAATGTAGGAGTTGTAGGATTTGTTTGCTGCCGTTCGGGGATAGGTCCAAGGGAAAAAAAGTCAAAGCTTTGAAAAAGAAAGTCAGCTGAAAACAGAGAGGGTAAACACAGCAAAAAGCAGCAGAGAGCAAGTCCCCACAGATCTCCTCCCAGCGCTCAGCTTGGAGGGTGTTGCCCTCCAACTCGGTCCCATTGCTGCAGGCGAGACACGCGTTCCCACCTGGGCAGCGAAAGGCGCTCCCTTACTCACCACTGCCGGCAGATGCTGCGGCCAGCGCCAGGGCGGAGAGCAGCGCCGTGAGCCCGGCGCTCCGCATGCTGCCCCGGCTGCGCTGCCAGCCGAGGGGCGCTCCCGCAGCCTCCCCGCTGCACCCCAACATCTACATTTCCTGCTTCCTGCCGGCGAGCATCTGAGCTGCATTTCTTCAGGAGATGGACTCTCTTTGATGGGTTTTAGGAAGTGATGTAATTCCGTCTGGGCCTGTCAAGCGAGCAATGATTGCAAAAGAAAGAAGAAGGAAAAAAAAAATAAAAAAGCAGAAGTTGCTCTTCAGGCACACACTTGGCTGAAGCACCTTTATGCTGTAGGTGAGAGAGCTCCCGCTCTCTTCCTCTCCTTTCGATCCTGACTTTACTACCTTCTATCTTCATCCACACACAAATCACACAAATCGCACATCACACAAACACAATTCAGCCACGAAACGTCATATATGTATGTTAGCAGGAAGGTTTTATGCCACTTTTCAGGGTGGTTAAGCAAGAAAATTTCAATAGTGCCTCCCCTCCTGCCTTGGTTTTAAAACTGTAATTGGGGTGTGAAAAAAAGCTGTAAACAGGGTGGGAGAGTGCATGCACTTACAGTTCCAAAAGGCAACCCCCAAGTGGGCTGTCTTCTGCAAATGGGTTGAATGGCTGGCTCTCTTAGGAGCCTATAACTGAGTACTCTGGGCTGATTCATGCAGAGGAAGAGGAAAAGGCAGAAAAACACATCCTTTTTAGTTTTGAGCAGGTGGCTTAGCAAGAAAGTGCTGTGACACCAGTTTGATGATGGCTGCAGATGACAGGGGACAGAAGGTTTCAATCCCCACCAAGATGCAGGGCCTGGCATGGGGGCCCACAGTGCCACAGCTGATTGAGGTGGCAAGGGGAAAATAATCCTATCTCCCTTCCTGACTCTTTTTTATTTTTGCTCCCCCTTGGCAGCCTTTGTCTGGGTATACAGATCTTGGCTCTTGCTCCCCGCCTCAAATGCTGCCCTGTCCTCTGTTCCCACCACCCCATCACTGTTTCACTCAGAAACATATAAGAGCTGGCCAGGGGCTTCCACAGATTTCCTTTTGGGTAAAAGCAATGGAGAACTTAAAAATTAAACCAAACATTTTCAATTTTCTTGCTGTATAGGATGGACCTATCCAGGGCCTGGGATTTGGATCTGGATCTAAACCATATATGTACCCAAGCAGGGAGAGTGGTTGGACCATATATTTGGGTTGTTCTACTGTAGAAATAAGCTCTAGGTCTAAAATTAATCTCTCTGAGTTGAGGAGAATCTGCACTCCAGAGTTTACTCTGGAGCATCCCAGCTTAGAGCCATTATAATACTTGTATAGAATTTTCCGGTAGTAATCTAAGGAAGGAGGGTTGAATGGCGACCGTGTAGGAGCTTTATATACTTCCCCTAGACATCAGTCTGTCAAAATCTGATTTCTACTCAGAATGTGTTGAGTTCTGGAATTTGTCAAAGCTTGTGAATCTTTCTGTTCAGATTGGTGGGAAGTAATCCATTGCCTCTCCAGCTAATAATTTTTGTTAACACACTGTTGCTTTTATAGGTCATCAGTTATAGGTTATTTAGCTTGAGTAGCTGAGAAATAGGTCAGTGACTCATTAAAGACCAGCTTGTTGATAGATTTAAGCCACTTGAATGATATAATTAACTAAAAATCTGAACTGGTTTCTTAGTATTGGCAATGTATGTTTATGAACTTCATAAAATAGTGGGGAGAAAAAGCAAACTTGCAACAGTTGCACCTACAAGTAGCTAAAGAGGAGCTCTGAGTTTTGGAAGCAGTACGCTGACCAACTAATCAAATATTTCTAGGAGATATTCTTTAATATGATGTCATAGTTATACACAATAACACTTATCAGACAGAAATGTCAGAGGTGAGATTTGCCAATACTTTTAAGATTTTTCCATTAAAAAATGACAGAAACTCCAAGGATTAGTAATAGTGTCTAATTGACACAGACTGTTTGAATGATGGAAGTCCAGAAACTGAGGCTATCCATCTGTGCTCAAAGGTGATTTTCTCTAGTCTGGCAATAGGAAAACTAATAATGGGCTGGTGGCCAGCACAGGCAAAGCCTGTCTGTGTTTTCAGGAGCAGAGTCTCAGATCTCAAGGCTGTCACTATTGTCCATCCTCAGCTTTCCTTGAACTTTAGTCAACAGTAGGCAAAGTCTTACTATTTAACACATGGGCTGCAAACAGGTTCTTCTGATTTATCCTGCCCTGCATATTTGCAGTCTTGTCCCATTCTGGAGACCCAGCCCAGCTCACTCATCCATTACAAAAACATAAACCTAGACAGAGAAACTGGAAGGGAAAACAGGAAAGAATTCATGTGTGTTTTGTATCTTCGCTGCATTTTTACACCATATTTTGAATGTAAAGAACTATATACATTTTCTTTTCCCTTTCAGTGTTTCTACATAGGTTGTAGCATTTCCCTCAAGTTCCCATCAACTATTATTGACAAATGTTTGGCTGACAACTCATCACTGCCCCTTGGAAGCAAGATAGCCATCTACTGCTGTGTACACAAGTATGATTTCTAAGGCAAATAAAAGTACAGGAAATGTGACTTTTGGCCACAGTACCTTTTAATTAAGATTTCAGTGGAATATGATGGCAGTTTGGCATGCATTTGACTATTCTAATTTTTTTTTAAAATTGTAGAGAAGGAGGAATGAGGTATTTTTGGATGCTGACAAATCCAACTTTCAAGCAAGGGCAGTTATCTCAGTCCATCCCAAGCAGCACTGGGATCGTGCTTCCCTGAAGTACTCCCAGCAGGCTTCCTCTAGCCTGCTGGGGAAGCAAGGTTGGTACCTTTGTTGGTTGCTGTCTTCTGCCTCATATGTCTCTCTTCATAGCTGAAATACAGAAACCAAAAGCTGTAGTGACAACTTCACTGCAAAACAAACTTGTGCATTTGGAAACCCATGTGGTTTCTGTCACGAATGATTTCATAAGAGTGGTAGAGGGTATCTGATAATTTCATAGGCCCTAGTGTGTTTACTAGGATCCACAATGCACCTTAGCAAAAATAAGTGTCTTTTTACAGGTAAAACCACTACATTTTTGGGGTGCTTACCATGTATGTTACCCATCTGGAAACATTTGTGCATGATCAATGTTACTATTTCATTGTTTTTTAGAGTATAAAGGGCATTTCTGACCACAAAGCTAGGCTGTTTGTTAATGTAGTTCCCTAATAGAGAAGGATTTGCATCACAGAGATTACAGGATGTCATCAGAGTGACATTTTTAGAAAAACAGAAATGTATTGCAATGCTGCAGCCATTTGGCTGATGCTCTTCTTGTTTCTTTTTCCTGTGAGAACAACAACAGCTAAACTTTTTCAAGTGATGTGGCAAGCTGATGGTTAGTTACAGGGCTTTTATTACAAACCTGCCAGTGCAGCTTGTCTGCTGCAGTCTTCAGCAGCTAATCCACCTGCTCTGAAGTGGAGGCAGGGGCTAGAGCCAGCCAGGTTCTGCCTGTCCCTTAATGACTTGTTTCTGTCTCTGACATATGTTGAGAAAGGACGGATACATTTTTCCCACAAGTTGCTGTGAAAGAACAGACAATAGCAGTGTACTGCAATTCACTGCAGCATTTCAAAAAAGCCAAAAACATCAAAGCAAAAGAGTTTGCGTAAAGCCCACAGGGATCTTCTTGAGTCAGCCAGAGTGTCAGCAGCAATGGCACTTCTGCGGGCTGCTGAGCTAAGTAAGATTTGCAGAATCAAGGCTAAAATCCATCCTTGTGCAGAAATCTCATGGGGATCTGGAACCTCATCCACGGTTTCACAGCAATGCCTGACTGAGCGGCAGATGACAAAGCTCTCTTTCCAACAAATTCAAATCTAGATTATATGAAAAAACAAGCTACATTTTATTTCAGCCAGAAAGGTGCTTCAGGAAAAGTTTTAGATCTTTCTGAAACCAATGCCACCTGTATAAATTAGAACAAAAATTAGAACAATGAGATATTATCCCTAAGTGGGACAATGTAAAATAGCTAAAATGAGAATGACAATAAAAGCATAAAAACAAGTATCTCAGTTTTAAGAATCTCTTTGCTTAACTGGACTTGTAATTGTCTTTTCTTGTCTTTTCCTTTTTTTTTCCTTCCACATGCATAACACAAGCTGTTTCATGCTGACAATATTTTATATACTTCAATAGGACCAGAAATAAAATACCAAACTAAACTTGAAAATATTCATATGTTTGCATCTAAGTTTCCTTTAACAAAATGAAAAATGTGTCCAAATAGAGATTTCTAAGATAAAAAAATCTCTGAAACGGAAGAGGCCTCAGGGTGCACCAAGAGCACTGGCAGATTTAGATTGAAGTCTAGCTGGACATTTCATTTCTACTCATTTGTGGGGAAGCAGTACATGGATTATACATTTTGCACATGCCAAAAGATTCCTAAGTTATTTGTGACTTGTGTCAATTCCTACAATAGATGATGCCTCCATTCCATTGTAGTACTGACTGTGTTTTGAAAGATGTGTCCTCCTGGAAGCTCAGCTTTCCCTCAGGCAAAATCCACAGCTGAAACTGCACTTCCAAAAGGACAATGTCTGGTCAGCAAAGTCATCTTGTTATTTGACCTCAAGAGAGACACAATTACTAGCTTATGTATTTAGTCCGCAGCAGAGCTTTCCTCCAGCCTAGTGGGGATTCACCCATAAAATCCTTCACACAACAACCTTCCTAGACTCCTATCCTTGGAATATAGGTGGGACTCCATAAGGTCCCAATGTTTGTCTCAATGTAGGCTGGATAAAGGGGGGATGAACACCCCAAAGTATAACTTTAGGGTTTTGTTTTGTTTTTTTTAAAGCCTGCACTTTACCTCAATGCTATCAGCTGCACATTCCTTTTGGTAACTAAATTAGTGCTTCATCCTAACTTTGCAACTTCAGAGTGCTCCTGGGCTCCAACAGTGGTTATACCCTTTTCTGCCCCCAAAACTGCCTGTTTTAACATGGAAAATCCAGGAGTTTGGGCCAGGATGCTGTGCCCCACTTATTTTCAAAACAGTGCGGAGCACCCTCATGAGAGATGAAGCCACCAGCATC